ACCACTGTCTTCACGTTTTTTGTGCCTAGGCTTTATATTTTCTGTTTTCTTCCTTTGGCTACCTTTCCCAACCTTAAATATCACTGCGATGTTTTACTTTTTCCTTGGAGTCATTAGAGAAAAAATAAGGGTTAGTCTAACAGTTTTTTACCCTCTCATTTTAAGGCTCACTTACATTTCTCTCAACACAGATAAAAATAAATAACAATTTTAGCTCACATTTTCTGAGAACTTATCATGTACAGGAACACTGTATCAACTGAATTCACTACTTTTATTACCTTCGTCAGTCCTCAGAACAACCCTGGATTAGGCAATATTATCATCCTTTCTATAGATGAAGAAATAGAAGACTAGTTTGTTAAGAAGCATATTTGAGTTGACACTGTTAAGAGTTGGGATAATACTACCAGATTTTACTGAGATTTAGAAAATAAACTTTATTTTCACTGTAATTATTTTAAAAATCAAACACCCATAGGTTAGTTAACACTTCAAATTGCTGATAACCACCTTACTATAAATATGAACTGGCAGTTTATCAAATTATTTTATTTGTTGAAATGAGAGTTGATGACACCAAAGCCCACAGAGTCCTAGGTAAGACAGGGAATCAAATGAGGAAGAAAACTTGCCAAAAGAAGATTATAAAGACACCATTAATTAAAGGCTCGATTGGATATAAACACAGTCTTCAGGCTATACACTGGATTTCTTCTTTAAAAGCTACCTACTCTTCTTACAAATCGGGCTGAGAACCACAAGGTCAACAGTTCGAAACTACCAGCTGTTCCACGGGAAAAAGATGAGGCTTTCTGCTCCCGTAAAGATTTGCAGCCTTGGAAACCCTGTACGGGGTCTCTGTGAGTCGGAACCAACTCCACAGCACTTAACAACAACTCTTCTGTATAAATTTTGCAGTCTGAAAAGCACTCATTCTCTTTTCTGACTTAAAAGTTTAACAAAGAACTCCTGTTCTCCTTTATAGATTTTTCATTAATCAATGTTTTTCAGACTTTGGAAAAATTATAAACAGAGGCCTCCTAGTCTGGCTGGATGTCCTTGGATAAGTCACTAACCTACGCCTATTTTTCATCTGAAAAATTAATTTATAATCTTTATTATGTCTAAAGCTCTCTCTCTGACACTTCTGATATTCTATCTCTGCTTGTTCCTCTGTTCAAGCCTGCCCTCAAATCTCAGTTTCTCAAAGAAAGGAATTATATTACATATATCTTTCATGATGTCTGATACTTACAAGGTACTTCATTAAAAAAAATATCTTGAATGAATATGTCTACAGCCATCTTGGTCTGCCCCAAATGTCAACTGAAGTTGTTGCATCTCAGTCTATTTTTTAAAATGTTGCTGCTGTTTTTTGTCCTCTGCCATTTTATGAAATAAATTTTAACTCCTCAATGTTTATTCTTCCTACATTTCCTAACTCTGCTTTTTCATAAGATTTTTCTAAATGTTCTATTTTCATAATCTAGTTATTTATGAATTTTCTCCCTTTATATATGATTTTAACCATTCTTTCTTTTTTAAAAAAAATACTTTCTGGTTAACTTCTAATTTCCTTTTACATTTTATTTCTTGACTCTAGTATTTGTTTGGTTTTTTTTTTTTTTCATTTTTCTTTCCTTGCATTTTTAAAATCCTTTTTCTTATGTTAATTCTAGATTCATCTGTATTTTAAGAAAATAGTGTTTTCTGAAACAAAATTACTCACAGTATCACAGCTCTGGGGATAACTTAAAAACACCAAGTTTAGAGTGAAAGGAGTTCTGGGGTCTGTGTTCATCTTTTTCCAAGTGTACTCACTACAGTATATAACTACCATTTTTCATAAAGATTTCTTGTGGTGGTGGTGGTGCTCATGTGCCGTGGAGTTGGAACCGACTCATAGCGACGCTGTATAGGGTTTCCGAGGTTATAAATCTTTATGGGAGCAGAAAGCCTCATCTTTGTCCAGTGGAACAGCTGGTAGTTTCGGACTGCTGACCTTGCAGTTCGCAGCCCAATTCATAACCACTATGCTACCAGAGCTCCTTAAAGATTTCTTGTATGTCAGCCAAATTGAGTCAGTAAGTGCCCATGATAAATGGTTAGTTGAAGAAACTCTGAAAACCAGTTCTGAACTCATTAGGTAGAGCAACTGAGTCACTTACCGTTAAGTAGTTTCAGTTGCAAGTAACAGAGGCAACTCAATCTGGTTGAAACAGGTTCCTGTAACTGAACACTCCATAAGTAATGATTGGATGTAACCCTGAAAACACGGTGTACAGGATTCTAATGCTGGGATTGGTTAGCTTTGCCATCCCACTAGGTTTGGAAAGATCCATCTCTGAAGAGGACACAGACAATTTCAGAAACACCAAGAGGAAGAGCAATGAGTGGAGCACAAAGCCCCTATCTGGAAAAGCAGTGGTGGCATGGAAAGACAGAGCAGTCTACACTCCCCAGCCCATGGACCCAGTAAAGTACAGGAAGGAGACTGGCCTGCAGAATGTGCCCTTTGGACATTTACAGACTACCTAAAGGAGCTTTGGTTCACTTGCCTAAGCAAGGCAGAGGTCAAAGGGCCACATGGCTGAGAGGTTGAAGACAAGAGCTCTATATAGTAAAGAAGAGGTGTTCCTGACTGAAGAGCTGCTGCATTGTGAGTTGTTTCTGATCCTGAATTGTATGCTGTTCACTTACATAATAAATCCCCTAATCGTGAATATTGTCTATGAGTTCTGTGTGGTCACTGTAACGGATTATTGAAACCAGATGTGAAGTAGAGAGTATTGTGGGAGGGATGCTTGATGTTATAAGAGGGCAAAGAAGGTTGAAGGGTGGAGGCATGGCCTTGGGCTGATTTTGAGTGTGATTTTCCTTCCCCTTGTGAAGCCAGAGAAAGTCAGACATGCCTTCCACACCATTTTTTTTCAATAGTAGTTAACACCAAAAATCTATATCCTTTTAGTCTATCTGCATTACCTTTGACAATATTAGTTTCAGTCCAGGCATGCCTCTCTACTCATGAACTCAGTAGACCCTAGGGCTAAAAGATTCTTGGTTCATATGCAGTTTATTAAAAGCAGTCCCAGGAAGACTCCCAAGATTTGATTGGACTGGTTTTGGTCACACAACTTCTGCTGAACCAATCACTTTGGAAACAAGAGGCAGGATGCAGATATTTGCTAATCTTAGTGCAATGTTCCACCTCTGGATCTAGGGTAGTTAGCACATATGAACCATGTGGTTTCAAAGGAAGAGCAAGGAAGAACTGTATGCTGGGAAGCAATCTGCAAATGTCCACTGCATGATGCAAAGCTGAATATGGTGGTGGTGGTGGTTATAGTGCAAAATAAAAGGCAGTGATTTCATCAGTTTTTATATTTCCAGGGAGTTATTTTAATAACTATAAGACTATAAATATGAATACATACATTTAATTGTACAAAAATGGAAGAAGTCTGCATTTTTTAAATCAATTCCTTTAGAAGTTCTTCCTGAGATTATTGACCCCAACACAGCTATCTATTGTTATTACTATTTAATAATTAAAGTTATATTATTGTTAAATAGTGAAAAGATGAAAGTAATAATAATGAACCATATCAAATGGATATTTAATAAAATATATTCCTGGGGGTAAAGAAATATTTAAAGACTAACTAGTGGATTTTTAAAAGGATGTAATATAAACTCAAAATTGATTTGACAGCAACTAACAACAATATAAATAATATAAACTCAGCTTCAGCAAATACAAAGGAAAAAAGTCACTTAAAAGTAAGAAGAGACACACTGCATAAATAAGCAACTATCTTTCTTCTAGCCTATTCCCAATTTCATTGCACATCTTTTGGCTGAATCAGGAGTTCAAGAAATTGAAGGCCCAGGATGTTGACAATTGAAAGTACAGTAAAGTCAACTGCACAGTCATTTGGGGATAGGGAAGGGTCATTTTGACAGTGGTAGTTATTTGGAGACAATTAGATTACATAGTCTTCAAGTAAATTAATACTAATCCTTTGTCTCCAGTCTTCCTCACCCCTCCCCAAAACAAATATGCTTTCTAAGAGCTTCTAGATGTTCATTTCAAAGAAATTCTCCCCAATCGTTGAATATTTTTATTTTCTCAGTATTTAAAAAAAAACAAAAAACAACAAAGACTGCTATCTGCAACAATGAGTCATCAGCCACTGCAGCTCAACAACATCCAGGCCTTTCCCTGTCTCTGCAGCTCTTCAAAAGGAGAAGACTATCTTTTAATGACACGCATAAATCCCTGCACTGCATGGCTGCAAAGTATAATTCATTCTGGCCTTGTTAGGTTTAGCGAAACACTTTACACACATGGAAGCAGTAGGTTTTAGCTTCTTGTATGTCCCTATAATAGAAGAAAAGCCCTGGCTTTTTTCTAGTTCTACTATATGCTCTCTAGTCACATTGGTATGAGCTCTCCATTATTTCTTCAACACATAAGTCTGTAGGGAGCAAGCCATAGAAAACTCAAAGTCAACCACCTGTGTGAACAGTTTTCTTAACTTTTTTAAGTGAGGAATGCTTTGTTTTTCAAATTCTTGGCAACAAATCACATGTTTTTACTTCTTAACTTATAGCTACCATAGAAGGGTATTTAAAGCAAGTAATCCTTAAATGTAGCTGTTTAATATAATTTTCCCCATATTAGAATAATTTTTCATAATTTAACACATACGTACTGTACTATGGAGGATATTATTCCATTGAGAATCTCAAAAAGTAAAATTTTTGATGTTCCATGTCAAAACACAATATGAGTAAAATTTTTAAAACAAAATTTAAAAGTGAATGATTTACCTTGACCTCATCTTAAAATATTCAATTATTCTAGTCCTATCTGAGCAGTCATAAAAGCAAATGCCTACTTTTTAAGAATTGACTATTGCTATAAATGCAGTTTCCCTATTTAATTATACCATATATGGCAAACAAGTGAATACTTAAATACAAAATATCCTCACCTGTTCAGGTGTAACCCCAGGCATGCGAACATCCAATGTGAAATCTGATGAATCAATTGGAATTACTGGTCTAGAGGTACCAAGACATTCATTGGAAAACGATCTGGTAGTTTCTTTAAACCTTAAAAAGGAAGACAATTTCAATATCTTTGAAGAAGGGAAAAAAGGGAATTCTGTGATGTTAAGATTAAAGATTACTGACTGAGACCTGATGAAAACCCTAAAGATTTATTGATCATACTATGATCTTAAATATACTCAGAACTGCATTTTACGGTCCAAGAATACATACTCAACTAGTAAAATATAATCAAAACAACAAGCAGGCTACGTTTAACCCTCAAATTCAACAAAAAATTGTCAAAGTATATATGTGTTACTAGTTAATAATATTATTGTGCTAATAGATTAGAAATGATTAAAAGTTTGCCAATTGCAGATGGTAGAAATAGTAACCATAACTCTATAAATGAAAGTGAGAAACCTGGAACCCTAACCAAACAAAACATCCCAAAACAAACAATAATAATCATGCCAGGCAGAATTATATGAAAGGAAAAAAAAAAACCCCAAACACTGCGATGTGAATGTGAATTATAAATGTACAAGAGCATAAATATTTAATACTATAATTATGATTGTATAAAATGGCACATAACCACCACCACCACCATACAGTTCAATGTTTTCTCGTGCGATATTATAGTCCATGGTCTGTTTCTCCCTACCACTGATCTATTTTGATATTTTTCCTTTAAGCTGTTATAAGCAAGAAGGCGTACATGTCTAACGGACTGTATTGCAGTTTCTGAATTATCTCCCCAAGAGGGAGTGATCAGTATTGAAAATCACAACTTCTAATTGGAGTTTTGAAAGCCAGGACTGCTTCGCTAAAATATAGTGGCCTTTTTTTAAAATAAGAGAACTTTACAAGAAGTTACAGTGCTAAAAATCCAAGTCGTTTCAACAAAGTAAATCAACCTTGTGTATTTCTCCAACACTCAGGTTCGTAAAAGTGATTACATTTCTAAACAGCATGCACAGAAAACACCCAAACAGTATTTCGTCTGTTAAATAAAAGACACCCACCTCTTAAAGACAGAAAGTGGGCTTCTGTAACCCAAGCAGCTGCTCTGAAAAACAAGGAGGAGAACTAGCAGGCTAAGAGCCTGGCCAGCCATGTCCGTGCCGCTCTGGCCCCGCCTGGAGAGGAGTGAGCAGAACAGCGCAGTGCTAAGGCTGGCGGTCTGGCAGTAGCGCCTTTAGCAGCCGCTACTTCATGGCCTGGGCGCGGTGAGTGTCCTGCGGCGGCCACACACCATCTGTCTGCAAGAGCAGCGAGCAGGCGGTGGAGAGGTGTCTAGATCACAAGCCACGGGCAGAAATCCGTGCGAAGGCGGTACTTTTGTCTAGTCCACAAGCGGAAGCTCTTCTCCCTCCAAAGCTGCTGCTTTTTTTTTTTTTTTTTTGATGATTTTTTTTTTTTTTTTTTGCCCTGGTGTTGGGGCTAGACGTGTGGGTTCCTTATCAATCCGGAATGACAGGGACTGTGAGAGATATCACACAAACCCGCGTCAGTCATCATACAGAACCTGCAAAAATAGAAGCAGATAATGGATGACTAACACATTACAGCATTTGTCCTCGGCAAATCCCAGTTGAGGGTTTTTTTAAAAAAATACATTAGTAGTTTCACAAGCTTGAATCCAAGCTGAGGGAGGAGGGAGAAGCTGGTCTGTGATCTTCCTCCCCAACAACCCATCCCCAAATTTCACAAACACTCATTGCCCTCTATGCCTTTTGCTTTCTTCCTCCCTCACACCCTCTCCCTGTTTTCTTTTCCTACTTCTTCCCCTTTCTCCTTCACATCCACCCCTCTTTGTATTCCTTTTCCTTACTCTTTGTATTACCTAACATGCATTCAATACCTTTGTTCAATGTAAACAAAGTTATTAACCCAAATGACAGGCTAAAACACAAGAGAAAAACAAAACAAAACAAAACACAACAGGTAGAAGCAGAGACAATGCATTTGTATATAACAGTAATAAAAAAAAAAATACTTTGAGAACAAAGGCATGTTTATATACAGGCATCACAGAACTACAGATGTAAGGAGTAAGATACCTCCTGCCAAGAACTCACAATGATCACTAGGAAAGTAATCATTTAAATTCTCAGAATTCTTTTAAGCAAATCAAAACCATACAGTTAGCATGGTACTGTTTATGGAATGTAACTGTACACTATGAAATCCTGCATGCGATATAGAAAGTAATGCTTTCTTAGTCATAAAACATGCTCCCAAAAGATACTCTTTCTTAAATAAAGTTTAGAAATTAAAGAATTAGAAACAGTAGGGGGCATCAAAAGCTGGTCCCAAACTGAATATTATCTATAAAAGCTAAGACCAAGAACTTTGTATTAATATAAATGAGAGGGCATCCAGAACTAGGGTAACATCTCAACATTTTATTAAGAAAACCCAACTAGGCTAAAATTTAAATATGCATATTCTGACTACATGTGCATATTTCAGACTATGCATCAAGTTTGTATATGGAATCAGAAAGAATTTTTAAATGTATCATTAACAATACAAACAATACATTAGAATAAAAGGAATTTCTTAAGATTTTATTTTAGTCAATAATTATAAACATCATTGGGAAAGATCCCAAATACATCCATTTGCCCGTCAAAAAAAGACAAAAATTAGTGAGTTCAAATAGAAGAGCACCAAAATAATACACAGAGTCCTGGTGTGGCGCTGTAGGATAAGCCCTGGATGGTTTGAACCGCAAGAATGTCTGCTCCTCAGAAACCCTTTCATAAAAGGTTGCCATTAGTCTGAACGGATTCGAGGGTACTTAACAACAATAACAAAAAATAATACATGATACTCTAAAGTATCCTCTTGAAATACTAAGTCTACTCTAAAAAGAAACACCCAAGCCAAAAAAATTAAATGTTCAGAAGCCTTCAAGGTCAGGTGCTTCTGGAAGAGAGATGCTTTATACCAAATATAAATAAAACCTGATTAAATACATAGCCAACCCAAAAACGTTGAGGCGTACCAACACCAAAGGACCACAGTAATTTACATAAGTAATGACAGTTTTAAAAGACTGATAATATTTTTTTGAACTTCCTCTATGGTTTGACATTTGAGCTTTCAGCAACAAAAAAGTCTCAGCTTTGTCCTTATCCTGTGGGTAATGGAAAGAGAATTCCTTAGGGGCAAAAGAAAGAATTGGCCTGAAGGCTATGCTATTGCCTTTGCCAACTACAAAGCATAATACTGTCAAATGACAATACTTAACATTTCCAGAAATTGTTTTTCATCTTTTTAAAATATATGTGAAGAAGGGATTATGCTTTATTATTTCATGCAGAACACGATTAAAGGACAGTCCTTCTTCCACTTAGTAAGGAGATCTGGCATTATACAAACAGTTGAAAACAAATTTGTATTAAAATTCTCTAACAGGAACACACCCTAGCCTTTGGGGAAAAAAATTCCACTTATCTCTTTGATTGATTTTATTTATCTTTGAAGTTTCTAAACCATCTACTAACAAAAAAGGGTATTGAAGTTCGGATGGAAGCAAAGTTGATTTTTGCAACCATTAAGAGAACAAAAGGTCTTGTAGAAATAAAAGCTGATATAAAAGGGTCTTTAAATTGCATCTGGTTCTTGATGCCTTGCAAACTAAAACAACATAAAAATACATTATGGAATAAACATTGCCTACCCAATTCATTTATTTTATAATACTTGACAGTCACAAAATATATTAAATCAAATTTTAGTCTTCCTTACTTTAGATTTTTAAAGGGCCAAATACATTTGCTTGAGTGAGGTCATTCATTCACTCAGGCAAACAAAAAATAAAAAACACTTATTTCATACTATATACAAGATATTGTACTACATTTTCAGATTTTACACATTGAAGAGGAAAAAAAAAAACTAAAAGAGAATACAGTAGATTAGGTAAATTAGGACTTTGCACAATTAACATAAAGGTATGTGAAAATGTAGTATGCCTATAAAAGGGATGCCAGGAATCCTGAGGAAGAAAACATCATTTATTTCAATCTTCAGAAGGTGGGTAAAGAGAGCATGAAAGAGAAAGGCAAAAGCAGGTTTCAATGGAAGAGGTGGCTATTGAGTAGCATCATGAAGGACCCGTAGAATGTGGAAGCTGGGCAGTGAGCAATCCAGGTGTAGGGATTAGCAGGCCAAAGGACATCAGAGAGACATCAGAGGTTGTGTTTGAAGAACAATAATAAAGGTTCTGCCTTCCTGCACTCAACCTACAGATCCACACTTACTATTTAATTTGTACTACAAGGCAAATACTCTACTTACATATCTGTAAGTTCGGTAAGTAAAAATAATTTGTAACTTCAACCTTGTGTGGCACTGTAGGATCAGCACTGGACTGTGAATCACAGGCAATTCAAACCTACCTGCTGCTCCTCAGAAACCCTACAGAGGGTTGCTATGAGTCAGAAATGACTGGATGTCACTTAACAACAACAACCTGTGCTTATAATTGCAGGAGCAGTACTCTCAGGTAGCAAGTACAAGTTTAGTCCAGAGAATCATAAAACAAGTTTGACGATTACAAAGTGGGCAGACCATGCCATTCATTATTTATTTGGATTGGAAAAAAAAAAAAAAAAACTTAGTCAAATAAAAAATATATTGATCATTGATTAAACAAGAAATAACTAGTATAACGTAGTGGATAAGAGTTTGTAAACTATGCAAAACGGTCTGACTACAAGTTTCACCATTTACTACCTGTATGTAACTAACTTCTCTAGAAAGCTTTTTATCTGAAAAATGGAGGTAACCATACTGTCTTATTGATGCCTTTGAGTTGTGTTGGAGAATACTGAAAGTGCCATGGACTGCCAAAAGAACAAATAGATCTGTTTTGGAAGAAGTGCAACCAGAGTGCTCCTTGGAGGCCAAGATGGCTA